TGGCTCAAACCCACCAGCCACTCCTCGGAAGGAAGATGGGGCAATGTACTTCTGTAGTGATACTGCCTCAGAAACCCAAGGAGGGGTCACTATGAGTCAGGTCCGACTCAACGGCACATAACAATGACAACAACATTGTAAATGGTATTATTTTCTTGATTTCCTTTCTCAGAATTCTCCTTGTTAGTGTAGAGGAACTCAACTGATTTTTGCATATTAATCTTGTATCCTGTCACTTTGCTGAGTCTTTCTATTAGTTCCAATAAATTTCTTATGTAATCTCTGGAACATTCTATATATAGGATCATTTCATCTGTGAATAGGGATAGTTTTACTTCTTCCTTACTAATTTAGTTATCCTTTATTTCCCTTTCTTGCCTTATAGCTCTGGCTAGGTGTGCATCAGCATTGTGCCCTTCCATAATACTTATTCAATCTATATGCTGAGCAAATAATTTGGGAGGCTAGACTGTATGAAGAAGAGTGCAGCATCAGGATTGGAGGAAGACTCATTAACAACTTGCGATATGCAGATGACACAACTTGCTGAAAGTGAAAATGACTTGAAGCACTTGCCGATGAAGACCAAAGACTACAGTCTTCAGTATGGATTACACCTCGACATAAAGAAAACAAAAATCCTCACAACTGCACAAATTAGGGACAACATGATAAATGGAGAAAAGACTGAAGTTGTCAGGGATTTCATGTTACTTGGATCCATAATCAACCAATGGAACTAACAGTCAAGAAATCAGATGATTTATTGCACTGGGAAAATCTGCTGCAAAAGACCTCTTTAAAGTGTTAAGGAACAAAGACATCACTTTGAAAAATATGGTGTACCTAACCAAGCCATGGCATTTTCAATCACCTCATATGCACCTAAAATCTGAACAGTGAATAAGGAAGGCAGAAGAGGAGTTGATGGCTTTGGAATGTGGTATTGGTGAAAAATACTGAAAATACCATGGACTGCCAGAAGAATGAACAAACCTGTCCTGGACGAAGTGCAGTTGGAATGATCCTTAGAAGAATGGCCAGACTTTGTCTCACCTACTTTGATCATGATATCAGAAGGGACTAGTCCCTGGAAAAGGATATCATGCTTGGTGAAGTTGAGGGTCAGCAAAAAAGGGGAAGACCCTCAGTAAGATGGATTGACTCAGTGGCTGCAATTATGGGCTCAAGCCTAGCAAGGACTCTGAGGATGGTGCAGGACTAGGCAGTGTTTCATTCTGTTGTACACAGGGTCACCATGTGTCATGGCACACTTAATAGCACCTAACAGAAACAACAGGATTTCCAGTATAATATAGAATGGAGTAGTGATAATGGGCATCCTTGCTTCTGTTCTCAAGGAGAATGTTTCCAATCTCTTTCCACTGAAAATAATGTTTTTGTGTATATACTCTTAATTATGTTGATGAATGTCTCCTCTAGTCCTATTTTGCTAAGAGTTCTTAGGAAAAGGTGCTGGATTTTATGAAATGCCTTCCTGCACCAATTGAGATGATCATGTGATTCTTTTCCTTTGTTTCATTTATGTGGTGAATTAAGTTGATTGATTTCCTAATGTTGAACCACCTTGTATCCCTGGTATGACTCCCACCTGATCATGATGTATTATTTCTTTGATATGCTGTTGAACTCTGATGGCTAGGATTTTGTTGAGAATTTTTGTATCTCCATACACAAGGGATATTAGTCTGCATTTCTTTTATTGTGTTATCTTTGCCTGGCTTTGGTATCTGTGTTACATTGGCTTCATAGAATGAATTAAGAAGTATTCCTTCCTTTTCCAAATTCTGGAATAGTCTGAGTTGAATTGGTGTCAATCTTCTCTGAATGTTTGGGAGAACGCTCTAGTGAAGCCTTCTGGGCCAGAGCTTTTTCCTTGCTGGAAAGTGGTTTTTTTCCTTTTCTTTTTTCCATTTAATGACATATTTAATGTCTTCATTTGTTATGGGTCTATTTAGGACTTTTATCCTCTGCTTGCATTAATTTAGGCAGATTAATGCTTTTCTAGAAATTTGTCCATTTCTTCTAGCTTTTCAAATTGTTAGACTATAATATTTCAAAATATTCTTTAAATAATGCTCTTTATCTTGGTTGTCTCTCTTGTAATGTCACCAATTTTACTTCTTATTTTATTTGTGACTTCTCATATTTTTCCTTTTTCAGTTTGGCCAGTGGTTTGTCAGTTTTAGTTTTCTTGATTGTTTTTATTGATTTTTTTTCCCTTCATTTATTTCTGCTCTGATCTTTATTACTTCCTTTCTTGTGATGACTGTGGACTTCTTTTGGTGTTCCTTTTCTATTTGTTCAAGTTCTCAGGTTAAGTTATAGATTTTGGATTCTTTTTTTGTTTTATGTGTGTGCTTATTACTATACATTTTCCTTTGAATGCTGCTTTCACTGTGTCACAGAGGTTTTTGTGTGTTGTATCTCTGGTAGCATAGTGCCTAAGGCACTTGACTGCTAACCAGAAGGCTGGTGGTTCAAACCCACCAGCCACTCCTCGGAAGGAAGGTTGGGCATTC